TATTAAAAAAAACAAAGAAAGAAAAGGAACAAATAGTCAAATAGTCACAGTGAAGAGTGGACTGACAGTTGACTGACAAAGTCCTCAGCTGGGTACAGTGCTACTATCTATTGGCATTTTTATAGCTTGTAGCTGTAGCTAATTTACTTGTTAATATAGCTGAAAAAAAGCTAATGATCCACGACCAGGTTTGTGGAAGATTTATTCTAATGCTAGTATGTTTTTCATTTAGTGATAGCTTCTTATCTATTTCATCAGTTCAACTTTCACTTGAAAGGTGAGACAGTGCAAGTGATCAAGTCTTCTGAATGAGACCACTGTGAGCTTCAACTGGATGCAAATTGAATCCAGAGGCTTTGCTGTTTGTTTGTATTAACCACTGATCTATAAGCTTCTGTCTGTCACCACACTTAGTGCAATTGTGCAGGTTGTATGAGTGCAAGTCTGGATTACAATAAACAATGCTGTTGCATCTTGAAGTTAGATTTTTGAATACACATCATAGGAAACTCATAAGAAATTGAAACTCTGGCTAAATTGGGATTTACTTGTAAATCAGAAACTGTCAAAGAACTGATCAAAGAAAATGTCAACAAGATAATGAATCCAAGACACTGACTTTCACAGTTTATCAATCATTTCTGTAAAGCCTCTAGACTTTCTTACCTGCCCTTCCTGATAGTTTCCCTGCCCAGCAGAGGTCCAAGAACAGGATCCAGTGTTTCCTCCAAGTTCTCTATCAGAATCACATCGCCTGCTGCCAGTGCTCTCTCTATGGCATCCAGATATCTTTCAGCGCATAGTAAGAATTCTGCTGTCAGTATCTTGTCCCCCAAAAAATGACCATCTGCAAATTTCACCATAAAGTCTTTTACCCTTTCTGTCCAATGCGGATGACACGCAGGTCCTCGCCGTATTTGTTTTTGATCCACTTGATGCCCTGTAGCTGGGGGTCCACCATCAGGGGCCAACGCTGGCAGGAAGTGAGAATGGTTGCATTCTCTGTAGACATCCTGTCGGCGGGCAGCCCCTCGTTCTGCCACACTGCAACGTCAGCATCGTCCGTCAGCATGGTCAAAGGGTCCAAGTCAGGGGTCACCGGGATAGGAACCTTACAGATGAGGTCAAGGAGTATGTATGACATTCAATCATTTTATGCTGTGGTGCAGTCTTAAAATTGGAACAAGCAATGTTTCTGGTTTCTTCTCCAAATAAAATGTGTGTGTGATTTATAGTTCAGTGTGTGACTGTAGAGGTTTATTGCAGCCCACTACACTAGACTGATGCATTGATGATGAGCAGGCTGTATTGTGCTTTTATTACATATGTTACAGTTCTTGTGTTTACATTGTTTTATGTACTTTGTGATTCAGAGCAACCATGGTAAGGTCTGCCTGGTTGCATTAATATTCACAGTGACCATGTTTATGTTATGTTCATATTTTTAGATTAAGGAGCCTTTCTACCATGTGTTTCATGATGTCTTCACTATCAACTCTTTTTTCTTATGTCAGAAACCTGCAGGAGAAAATCAAAGCAGTTCAAGCTGACCAGTCACACTTCTTGCAGTCTCTGTGGATAGTGCATTTGTTGAAGATTAATTTCAGCTGGAGATTAATACTCACTTTGTACTATACTGTAGCATTTCGAGACACTAAAAAGGTGACGATTATGAGCCTTTTTTTCCTTGTGTTTGAAGATTCTCTCCAGAGATTTAAAGACATTTAAAATGTCTTTGAATGCAATACTGGGGAATGGACAACTACATGTAATTAAACTAGCAGTTTAAGGATAATAATCACCTTTATTTGGCCAAGTATGTTCCACACACTTGTTTCTGGTACAGAACCAAGGCAGCCATCTGTGGTGCCAACTCACACCGGGGGCAACCTGGGGGTTCAGTGTCTTGCCCAAGGACACGTTGACATGTGGATTGCAGGCACTAAGATTTGAACCTCCAACCCTCTGGTTGGGAGACTGCTCTACCCACTGAACCATAGTCGCCCCATTTTGTATTGACTGAAGTAGATAAATTACATTTTTGCCATTTTTTGTGTAGCTAACTACCACAACTACAAATAATTTTGGGTCATGAAAGGAAATGAATGACTTTTTATTTTTATTTTACCATTGCTTCTCTAACCCTGACTGGCAGGGCCATTTAGACCAGTGATCAAGCTGTTCATACGCTCTAAAGGTGTAAAGCTCAAGACTGTTTTAGTTGTTAACTTTGTACAAGTCAGATGTTGCAGAACTGGCAGGTAACACGACAGGCTCATATTTTTAGACTCAAAAGTTTGTCTAAGTTGAATATTTGTTATAATCAATTGACTGCTCATGCTTGTTGCCCCATTCAAGTTACTGATATTGATGTTTCCCCATTCTGAGATCTCAGGAATTACTCTGGTGAGTACACCGTTATCATAACCAACAAATGATGAGGAAATAGTTGCCTCCATTACTGTTGTTTTCACGCTTAGTAAACCCCACCGACATTGTACTTGAACTTGAGAAAAACACATTAAGCCTGTAAAAACAACCTGATTACAGTTATCAGGACTCCATGTGGTATTCCAGTTGTAGCTCCAACATATACTGCAGTTAAACTTTTGAACATGCCAGTCATCGCACCTTTACATACAGGTATAAACTCTACTTGAGGCCACCCACCTTCAGCTGATTGAGATATGGCCTCCAAGTGTTGTCCATAAGCTGAAGCCTGTAGCGTTTGGTGAAGTATCCCAGGTAGGAGATGAAGGTAGTGATGAGGAGGACGTCCCCACACAGAGTCCTCTCTTGTTTCTTGAAGTTTTCTACAGCCTCAGCCCAACGCACGTTCTCTGATGCCAGACCCCCAACCTGAAACACAGCGACAGACCATGAACACACAGATTTATTGTTTTACATTACAACACCATAGTCCTTGTGGAGTATCCTGTAGAATCAAATCCAAATTAATCTCTGTCTGCAGTCATTGATGCACAGACTCATGAACATTAGGAGGTCTCTTGTGATCTTCAAGTCCTTTTTATTAGGTTTTCATATCCTTTATCACCTCTTTGCTTGTGTACCAACACCTCTACTCTTTACTGCAACAATGATCCAGTTTACCTTCAGGGATCAGTAAAGTTCACCTTAATATCTTATGTCTTCTAAACTTGAGAGGCCCTGCACTTTGATACAAACCCCAACTTTTCAGCATACATCATGGAAACACTGCACACTTCAGTAAGTTGACTGCATTTGCTTTGGTATCTGTCTGGCTAGCAAATGAGAACAACTGCTTGTCCTTTTGTTGCTCCTGCCAGGTGTTTTGGAAACTTCCTCTGAATAATTTTGATTATCATACTAACAGTGTCAACACTCATCTTTTTGCTTTGCTGCTGTCAGCAGGGAATTACACACTCGTGTAGATTTATAAAGTTTTCAGACCCTTTTTTACACATTTTGTGATTTTATGTTAAATGGATAAAATTGCCAGTTTTGCCCATCAACCTACCACCAGTAATGACCTCATATACAGTATACAGTACATGTCTGTGTTGGGGGAAGTACTCAGATCCTTAAAGGATGTTGCTGGCCATTTTCTATATTAACATTTTCAGTCACCACAGTCAAATAAGCTGATCCAGACTGGAGACTTGTCTTTAGTGTGTATAAAGGGATGGTTGAAAATACTATTAATAGAGACAATGATCGGCCTTATCCTTTACCTTAACTGAATAATTCACAATTTAAAATACTTCATTACAAGAACATATGTATCATCCTGGATTAATATTACTGAATCATATATGTGAAAGCAATATGTTTAATGCCTAGCTAAGATGCAGATACTGTTGGGTGGTTTAACTTAAAACAGTGCATCTATCATATTTTATAAACTGCTGATATGGATTGTGCATAAAACCTATAATACTAATGCTCTACTGTACCCTGGATACATCCTGTCAAATGAATAAATATAAATGTAAAGGAAGTAGCTGTCAGATAACAATAATGGAGTGAAAAGGTACAATATTTTTGTCTGAAATGCAATGGAGTACAAGTACAGTAAAAGCAGTAATACAGTATTAGAAGTCATATAAAATGGAATGGTAGGGATAAGATAAAATAAGATAAGTGTACAGGGTGAAGAGGAACGGTGCCAACACAGTTCCCTGCAGGGTCCCTGTGCTGCAGACTTCCATGTCAGACACAGTCTCTTGCCCACACATACTGTGGTTGGTTGGTGAGGTAGTCCAGAACCCAGTTTGATAGCTGGAGGTGCACTCTAGTGTGCTCCAGTTTATCCCTCAGACGTACTGGCTGTATGGTTTTAAAAGCAGTGCAGAAATCAAAAAAACATTATTCTCACAGTGCTCCCAGGCTTCGCCAGATGAGGAAAAGCTTTGTGTAAGAGGTAGATGATGCTGTCATTCATTCTGATTCTAGGCTGGTAGGCAAACTGAAGCGGGTCCAGAGATGAGCTCACTAGAGTGCGGAGATGGATCAGAACCAGTCTCTCGAGTGTCTTCATCAGGTGCAGCATTAGTGCCAGTGGCCTGTTACTGTTGAGGTCCCTAAGGTGCTGCGTCTTTGGCACCGGTACCACACAGGATTTTTTCCACATTTGTGGTACTCTACCCGGCCTCAGGCACATGTTGAACAAGTGCCCAACTATCCCACCCACCTTGATCTTTCTAAGTCTGTCTCTTACCTGTGCTGCTGTAAAGGTCAGATTGGAGCCGGGGGTTGGAGGGGGCTGAAGTATAAGCATAGTTGTAAATGTTTGATCCTTACTAAATGAGTAGGATGAAAAGAAAAACCAAAGAGGTGGCCATGATAATAAGGAGAGATTAAAATACATGTGTGTGGGTATCAATACAAGTTTGTACACATCTGTGTCTATCTGTGTTGTACGTGTATGTGTGTGCTAGCTGGGCCGACTGTTGCCCTCCTCACCAGGCGGTTGGCCAGGGAAATGGTGCGTGCGGTTGATTCTGCTTCCTGTTGACACTTGAGCTTATCTGCTGTGGCTTTCTCAAACTTGGCTGTCAGCTTGGCCAGGTTCTCATTAAGGTGCTGATAGGCCAAAAACATACAGACAGACACACAGTGAAACAGAAAAATTGGCACTTGTTAAGACACAGTGTGGTCATAAAGAGGACAAAGAACAAAGATGACTAAAGTCTGCCTAATGAAAGAAACCTGGAAATGTGTGAAAAGTTAGCTAAAACTTATCATTCACTCTGCTATGGATTTATTTGGCATATGGAAGTAATTAGCACAAGGACAAACAGGATTAATCGGTGGAGAGGCACACAGGTTCAGTAGATTAGTTTGAGGATTGCTAATTCCCCTTGGCTCCAGACTCGCTCTCTGCTCAAGCGATCTGACGGAGGGCTGAAAAATGACAGCGAGAAGTCATGCTGGATTTTATTAAGAGTGGCCACTCTGCACTCTGCAGGGTTTGATATAAGCAGACACTGAGCACCATGCTCTGCTGGGGCGCTCTCACGCTGTTATGTATTGAATGTCAACTGAAAAACCATTATTTACAGCTGCTTTTATCAGTAGGGTCTTTTTTTAGCTGATGGATTTAGTTTTACATTAATGAACAGTAAAATCCTTTAATAGCACTTAAACCAGCTTTGAATTGATAAAAGGCTGGTGGTGTATGGTCACTAGTGGAGTTGTGTCAACTGTCACTTGGGCCTTTATAAAACAATTCATATCCTGATTTTTGGTTGCAGCTCATAGCCTCAAGTTGGTGTTGTTTTTATTTTATGTCTGTAGCATCAATTTCTTATTACACTCCACATCTTCAGGGTTTAATAGAGTTCACAATGATGTCTCGCAAATCTTTTATACCTGGGTGCTGAGATTTCAGGCTTTCACAAGTCACTTTAGAGCCTACGATTTGTTCTGTGCAGAAGTCAGGCCACCAACAAAAGTTTTACAAGACTTTCAATGTATCTGTCAGAGCATTTTTCTGCCAAATAACTAGAAAACAAAAACAAGACTTCGAGGAACAGTAAGCCCTTTCTTTAATAAAATGGTATTTTAACTTGAAAGTCTAAATCCTATGGATTTTAGATGTTGAAATGGTGTTCTCTTAAAAAAGATACTTGGCACTTAGCAAAACAGCTTTTCATTTCCTGTATCCTTAGTCCAATGCAATAGCTTACATTAATCTTGGTCTTGATGGCAGCAAGTTTCTCCTGTGCAGCAGCCAGCTCTGCGTTGGCCTCAGTCAGAGCCTGGCGCTTAGGCTCCACCTCACAATACACCTCATAGAACTTGACAATGTTTAAAACCCATGAGCATAGCCCCGCCGCTGCGTATGACTTGGAGGCTACCAGATCAGGCTGGAACTCTGGATCCTGGAGAGGACCAAGACAGATGAACTTACACATGCACAAATGAAAACTCAACATAGATTGCATACTCTATCAGAACCTCTAATTCAATTACAGCCTGACCAAAGTAAGCTGTGGGCTGAAAATGTATTGCTAATCTGCCCAACAAATACAGTAACTGCATATTGTATTTACACATACAAAACTGATTTATGAGCATAATAGGTCTTTCTGACATTTGTTTTAATATATAAATAATTTTATGCAACCACGCTCTGTACCACAGAGAGACAGCCAGCTAGCTAAACCAAAAGAGCTAATGTGTGTTAATTAAAAGTGTCTAAGATTGTTTACTCTCAGAAATGCACCTACTAATTGAAAAAAAAGGTTTAGTCTCTTATACCACATAAATGAGGCAGTAATGAGTAGCTAAATCCAATCAAATGGGAAAAAAGTCCAATTTAACACTGGCCAAACTAGTCTTAGTAGCCTAGCATAAAAAAAGCAGCAGTAAGTGCCAGTTGAGTTATTTATTAGACCAGTAACTTTGGTGTAAATTATTGTACTGCACTTTGCTCCTGCATTCCCTTTAGGCTATCCTATGCAACTTATGTAACAGGAGCTGATGCAGGTACACATTAGAAATAGAGGATGTGCTATCACTGGCACCAGTTTATAGGCATGAAGACTGTAAACTGTTGAAAAAGCTCTGGACGCTTATGATTTCAGCTTCTCCTTTGTAAGAGGACTGTTATTTCTTCTTTTAAAAGGGACACTGTCTATCTTTAAGATTGGTGAAATCAAGATTGTAGTATCTGCACTATTTTGTCTTGCAAAGACTGTAACAAAGAGTTTGGGTCATCCTTACAAAAAGGCATTAAATTAACATATTACAACTTATCTGTCTGTTAAACAGTTTGGTTGACTAGCCTCTCCAAGCCTTAAAGCACAGTATAAGTCACAGCAAGACATAAGTTAGTAATGGTTTCTTCATAAACATGAATTACCTTTTATTTTTGACCACCACTTTTACATATTAATTCACTACATTAAGAGTGTCTGGAAGCTGAATCTGTGGTGTACATAGTGAATTCAGGCTTTATCTGCTGCACTGTCTTATCTAGTATCTGCTCCACTGAACTCTTAATCAGGGTGGCTGTTAAATTTGTAACGCCTAATTAACTGGTTGATTTTCTCTGGCTGTCATTTGGATGCTCAGCAGCCATAATGTGCCACTGTCACTGTAATCACGCCTCTGCTAATTTTTTTACTTATTAGTTGAACTTGCTCAGCGGCGGACTTTCCACACTGTGCATCATTAGAAATGACTAAATGAAATGTTCACCTGCAGGTAAGGCTGGATAGCTTTAAGGCAAGCCTCTGGGATGTTCTTTTTGTTGAAGTTTATCAGTGAGTCCAGGAACGCATCAACTTTGGCCATCATCACCTTTGCAGCCTTCCAGCTGCGATCCTTTGGGACTTTGCCACCGGGTGCCATCAGGACCATGACTGCGGCAGTGACATTGGTCACCGCTGCTACCGGAGAGCCAAATGACTTCAGTTCTGTCAGGTTGTTCTGAAGCAGGGAAGACAGAGGCAACAATGGATGAAAAATCAAAGGGCTATGATTTAATTGAGTTTGAACAATCTCTGTGGTCTGCTGGGGGAAAAAGAGGGGGAAAGAAAAGGATTAGAATAAAGGAAGAAGAATCACTGCTGACTTTGAGAGGACAACAGAGAATTCTAATTAGAGCATCTTTAGAGAGCGCTAAGCTGTGATTGAACTGTCTGTTCTGCTTGTTTGAACCGAGAGCACCTTTTAAACACAGAGAGGTTTTTGAAAATCCCCCAGGCAGCTTATAAACCTACACAGGATGCGAGGATGAAGTAAAAGGCCTGCAGAACATAGCAAAGACCGGGTTATATATGTGATTCAATAATCTTTTATACAGCTCAAGGTCTGTGTGGACATAAATTATTCTAGTGAAACAAGCGAAATCAAATAAAACAGAACACAAGTCCTCTTAAAGGAGAAAAAACTAAAAGAGAGAAAGAAAAATATGATGGAGCAACTCATTAAGACATAGCGAGAGATAAGCGAGTAGCTAACCTTATTTAGAGTGTTGAGGGCATCCTGGGCGGCTAGAAGAGCTGGTTCAGCCTTGGCCAAGTCCTCCTCACAGTCTCTCTGTTTTCCGCTGACTACCACAGCAATGGCTGCCACCTTTTGCTCTTCCTCGTCAGCCACTGCCTTCTCCTTGGACACCTTCTCAGTCTCTATCCCGACCACCTGGGGAAAGCACCAGACACAAAACCTGAGCAGCAACAAGAAGGGTCTGATGTGCAGAAACTACCCAGATAAACAGAGTACAGGAAAATGACCAACATTGTTTCTAAAAGAGAGTGCATGTTCTTGCCTGGATCAGCTTATCAGCATCTTCGTTCTTCTGCTTAAGCTCCACCTCCTGAGCAGCTAGCTTGGCCTTGAGGTCATCTACCTATCAGAAGGTGAGATATGAAGGCCAGGACATCAAGCCCATAAGCCCATAAGTGATGATACTATGGCCAAGGCTTCAGATCTCAATGAACAAAACTGTAGATCATAATCACTGAACCAGAATGAGAGTTTCTCCGAATATATTTATGTATGTAGGTTTATCGATCTGTCGTTCATTCAAAATTAAAAGTACTCTCAAATAGCAGTGGCACAAAGTACATTTACTTCACTACAGTTTTAATGTTTTGTATACTTTGTTATTCATTTTATGCTACTTATTTGCTTACATTTGTAACATTACAGTAGGAAAGGTACTTTTATAGCTATAATTTGAAGATTAATATATTATTATAACATATGAAACATGTAAAAAATTTTATGTATATGTTATGTATACTACCTACAGTAATGGTATACAAAGGTAGCAGTTCAAATTTGCTCCATCTCAACTTCAACATTAAAATGCTGTTTACACATTGTTTCAAGACATTTTCAGAATCCAATAATACTGTACCTGCTCTCATAAAACATCTACAAAGACTTTTTTTTTTGCATTGTATATATCCAAGTTTACGCTGGCATCAGTTATTTAGGGACGCCATATTCTTCCCACTTACACTAAGACAAAACAAACAGACAGACTCTGAACCCCTCCAGTCCATTATCAAACCTATCCAGCCCATTTCCCAGCCCTGAACGGTATCAAACACTATCCCTAGCTTTCAGTTCTGCTCTTACAGTATGCAATACATACAATCTAAATAGCACTGTCAAAGATTAGAAAACAATTATTAACTCAGCTTAATAGGCAATAATAAAAATGACATTAAATATGCAGCTGGTGCAGCCCATGTACCAGCATGTTCTGTTCATCTAAGAGCTACCTTTTCTAGCTTCAACTTATCTATGGCTTCACTGGTCCATTCCTTATTTGTTGTGCATTAGCTGCAGTCCAGCATGACAGATAATTTTGTCTTTTGAAGGCATTCTGCTGAATTGATACAAGTCCCCCAGTATGCATGTTTGTGGTGTAAGGGGAATATCTATGTTAGTGCGGGTCATTGCCTGCTTAGTTATGCCCAACCACCGATCTTTGATTTGATTGCAGTCCCATAACAGATGAGTAAAGGCTCCTTCTGCTGTACCACATTTATCACTGTCGCTTACACCCATTTTGTGTAACTGTGACAGGGTGTAGCACAGTCTATTTAATATTTTAAATTGCCTTAGTTTGTTTTTTTGTACAAAGAAAGAGGTGTCTTACATTTTTCATATATCATCCCGGGAGATAGCCTCCTCTTCTTTATGAAGGTCACTGGTCCATTTCATTGCACAGACAAACTGATCACTGGTGCGTTCTCTTAAAATGAAATCTTTCTACTAAATGAGTTATAAGTAATTTAATATTAAGCATATTTTCAAATTTATGTGTATTAATGTTCAGTTTGTCTATGGGAATATTTTGATTGGAGAATGCTTTAAAGCACCATTATTTACAGTGGTGTGAAAAAGTGTTTGCCCCCTTACTGATTTCTTATCTTTTTGCATGTTTGTCACACTGTAATGTTTCAGATCGTCAAACAAATTTATATATTAGTCAAAGATAACACAAGTAAACACATCATGCAGTTTTTAAATGAAGGTTTTTATTATTAAGGGAAAACAAAATCCAAAACTATATAGCCCTGTGTGAACAAGTGTTGGCCCCCCTGTCAGAACACTGGTTTATCGCCCCTGAGTTCAATTTCTCTAGCCACACCCAGGCCTGATTACTGCCACACCTGTTCGCAATCAAGAAATCACTTAAATAGGACCTGCCTGACAAAGTGAAGTAGACCAAAAGATCCTCAAAAGCTAGACATCATGCCGAGATCCAAAGAAATTCAAAAACAAATGAGAAAGACAATAATGGAGCTCTATCAGTCCGGAAAAGGTTATAAAGCCATTTCTAAAGCTTGGGGACTGCAGCGAACCACAGTGAGAGCCATTATCCACAAATGGCGAAAACATGGAACAGTGGAGAACCTTCCCAGGAGTGGCCGGCCGACCAAAATTACCCCAAGAGCGCAGCGACAACTCATCCAAGAGGTCACAAAAGACCCCACAACAACATCCAAAGAACTGCAGGCCTCACTTGCCTCAGTTAAGGTGAGTGTTCATGACCCCACCATAAGAAAGAGACTGGGCAAAAATGGTTTGCATGGCAGAGTTCCAAGACGAAAACCACTGCTGAGCAAAAAGAACATAAAGGCTCGTCTCAGTTTTGCCAGAAAACATCTTGATGATCCCCAAGACTTTTGGGATAATACTCTGTGGACAGACGAGACAAAAGTTGAACTTTTTGGAAGGTGTGTGTCCCATTATGTGTGGCGTAAAAGTAACACCGCATTTCAGAAAAAGAACATCATACCAACAGTAAAATATGGTGGTGGTAGTGTGATGGTCTGGGGCTGTTTTGCTGCTTCAGGCCCTGGAAGACTTGCTGTGATAAATGGAACCATGAATTCTGCTGTGTACCAAAATATCCTGAAGGAGAATGTCCGGCCATCCGTTTGTGACCTCAAGCTGAAGCGAACTTGGGTTCTGCAGCAGGACAATGATCCAAAGCACACCAGCAAGTCCACTTCTGAATGGCTGAAGAAAAACAAAATGAAGACTTTGGAGTGGCCTAGTCAAAGTCCTGACCTGAATCCAATTGAGATGCTGTGGCATGACCTTAAAAAGGCAGTTCATGCCCGAAAACCCTCCAATGTGGCTGACTTACAACAATTCTGCAAAGATGAGTGGGCCAAAATTCCTCCACAGCGCTGTAAAAGACTCATGGCAAGTTATCGAAAACGCTTGATTGCAGTTGTTGCTGCTAAGGGTGGCCCAACCAGTTATTAGGTTTAGGGGGCAAACACTTATTCACACAGGGCTTTGTAGTTTTGGATTTTGTTTTCCCTTAATAATAAAAACCTTCATTTAAAAACTGCATGATGTGTTTACTTGTGTTATCGTTGACTAATATTTAAATTTGTTTGATGATCTGAAACATTACAGTATGACAAACATGCAAAAAGATAAGAAATCAGTAAGGGGGCAAACACGTTTTCACACCACTGTAAGTTTAAGGAAGGGTGGGAAAGTTTAACGAGAATGACAGGGGGGCCAACACTTGTTCACACAGGGCTATATAGTTTTGGATTTTGTTTTCCCTTAATAATAAAAACCTTCATTTAAAAACTGCATGATGTGTTTACTTGTGTTATCTTTGACTAATATATAAATTTGTTTGACGATCTGAAACATTACAGTGTGACAAACATGCAAAAAGATAAGAAATCAGTAAGGGGGCAAACACTTTTTCACACCACTGTAGATACTCACTTTTTGGGATATTCTATGAACAATTTATATTTATGTTTTATGTTTTCTGGTTTGCATACACTATGTACTGTATTATCAATAGCACCCATAGTGTCACGCTCCACAGACCACATTTAAAAATATGGTTTAATATTTTAAAATATGCTTATTTGCTCTCTGTTATTAGATGAGAACAACACCACTCTCATGACTGTCTGTTAACTATGGAGCTGCAGCAATTAGCTGAAATCAGGGTGAAACAGGTAACCTTGCTTTAGCAAGAGTTTAATAAGTTTCTATAAACCTACTACATTGCATATCTGCTATCTGGTAACAGAACTGTTACCTCGTTGGTTGTTCTATATGAAACCAAAGGTTACAAAAGTATGTCTAAAACACTTGTGACTATTACGTGGGACAGAAATACAACAGGTTAACAATGGAAATGTACTGTGCGTGCATGTCAGGTCTGCACTGGGCCATATTGCATGATTTTTAAACATAATGCTAAATTGGTCTAAAGTGTCCATTAATTTAAAATAAAAATCTCAAAAGCTTTCAAGGCAATTTGGATTCAGTTTTGGGACAGTGTACAGGGGTAGGCTGCCGACAGTAATCTATTGTTGTGTCATTAAACTGTATAAGTAGCAAGCAGTGTGTATATATGGACACTAATGAATCTATTGCTATCATCTAACTGAATCTCTCAGGCAGTTTTGAAGGACTGAACACTTGTTTTTGTTGTTTGTATCATCACTGGTTCTTATCAGAAATCCAATCACTGATCAGGCTAAATGGCAATTCAATGGAAACAAACATCTTTTCAAGACTTTAAAGTAACAAAGCGGATTCAGTGGCTCAGGGAAGTTGAACAAATATGCTTCACAAAGGGCCTAAACCTTTGCAGACAACATTCTGTGCCCTGCAGTAATGTGCCATGGTCCACGCATGTGACCTTTAATACACTGCTAGAAAAAATCTTGTTCTGTCCAAGCAGATAAAGGGACAGAAAAAGATGAACAATATCTGGGAAAGAATAAAAGCTTTTTAGGATCAAGAGCTGCTTTCAACACACACACACACACACACACACACACACACACACACACACACACACACATAAATGTACAAACCAAGGACGGTCGTAAAGAGAAATTAAAGCTGTTACAAACTCCTCATAACTCCCCGACAAATTAGGCTTTGTACTCCCATCCGACTCCATCAAAATGTTGCACTGGGGAAATAAAAACAGACTGTTTTTCATGCTTGTCTTTCAGCTAATTAACAAACAGAAAATCAGGCCAGAGGGAAGACAGCCCTGTCGGGTTGCAGGGACTTTGTGCAAAAGAGTTGGTCGAACATTAGACGAGCAAAAAGTGAGCTTTCACAACATGATGTATAGGCGACATGAAGGGGGGGACTAATTGGTAGGAGAAGGGTGATATTCAGTATATCTGAGCACCTTCTGTGTGTATCTACTGCAGATGAAAGCCCAAGCAGGGAAACATGTCTGCTCCTCTCTCTATAAAACGGCACACTCTCTCTCCCCTCTGATGAAAACGGAATTAGTACAACAGTGTTTCTTAAGGCCAGATCAGATCTGACAGCAAAGCATACAGGTATACTCATTCATCCACATATGACTTATGGACTCAACAGTGTTTGGGATTTCAGTATCTGGCTTGTATTGCTGTGGTGACTATAGCTCCATTTATGCAACAAATAGACAGCTGGCTGCATTTGTTGGGGGGAAAAGGTCTTATTCCAGTTCTTACACTTTAAGGGGAACCCTTCATTTAGCTTTTTTCTCTTTGCAAAATGGGCCAAGACATTAACTGGCTGTGGTGGGAGAGTAGGTCTACCACTATTCCATTTACCACTATTATTAGTACAAATGCAGACTACTACTATTAGTAAAACTGCTAGTAGTATTCTGTAAGTAGTGGTACTCGTATTACAGCTACTACTATTACTATGTGTACTACTAGAATGATTAGTATTACCAGTAGTACTACTAGTCATATTCTTAATATTAACACAAGTAAAATCACCACTTCTACTTACTGCTATTACTACTGGAATTAATATTTGCATTATCCATGGCTCCCAGCCTCAGCACTGGTTCACCACAAGACTGTGTGCTGAGCCCCCTGCTCTACACCCTGTACACCCACGACTGCACCCCCGCCCACCACGGCAACACCATTGTAAAATTTGCTGATGACACCACGGTGGTGGGGCTTATCTCTTGGGGGGATGAGACTACCTACAGGGATGAGGTGGAGAGGCTGATAGTGTGGTGCAGAGAGAACAATCTGCTCCTTAATACCTCAAAGAGTAAGGAGGTCATTGTCGACTTCAGGAGGAAGAAAACCGACATCTTGCCACCGTATATTAGTGGGGACCGTGTGGAGGGGGTGCCAGCCTTCTGCTTTCTGGGAGTCCACATTGAGGAGGGGTGTGAATACCTCTGGACTGCTTAAAAAGGCCCAGCAGAGACTGTACTTCCTATGGGTACCCAGGAAGAACATCTCCCAGAGACTGCTGGTGTCCTTTTATTGGTGCTCCATTGAGAGCATCCTTACATACTGTATATGTGTATGGTAAAGCAGCAGCACAGTGGCTCAGAGGAAAACGCTCCAGAGGGTCATTAATACAGCCCAGGAGATCATCGGCTGCCCTCTCCTCACTCTGGAAGAACTGCATGGTTCCCGCTGCCTCAAAAAAGCCCAGAACATCATTAAGGACACTTCATTCCCAGGACTTTCACTCTTTGAACTGCTGCTGTCAGATAGACAGTTCAGAGCAATCAAATCAAGGACCACTAGCGTCAAGAATAGTTTTTACCCAACAGCAGTTACCACATTGCTGCTAAAATATAATATGCCTCTGTGTGAGAGGTTTGTTGTTTATTTTGTTTTTCTAGCAGTTAGGTTTTTTATATGATCTTATTTCATATGTTATGTTTTTTTCTATTGCCGACTGGAGGTCACTCTAAAATTTCGTTGTACGTGTTACAATGACAATAAAGGCTTATCTATATATCTATCTATTACTCCTAGTGCTATTATAGGTACCAATACTACTGCACTGTCAAAAAGTATGTGTGTGTGTGTGTGTGTGTGTGTGTGTGTGTGTGTGTGTCAACAAGCTTTTAAGTGAACATGTGTGGGCTGAAGCCACATACACATCACTATGCAAGACTAATGCAGCCAAAGGTAGGACACTACCTCCACAAAATTCAAGGCTAAGGAAAAAAACATGGAGCTAATGTGTCCTCTGGGGAACAGATGACTCATACATTTATACAGGATCTCCTACAGCCCATCCCTACACACACACACGCAGATTGTGCCTCATCCCTCCTGGTCCTTATTTATGATGGCCACAGGAGCCCCTGATGAGCCAGAGATCCTCTTGCACACAGTGTTAAATAACAGTACTTATGGCAGCACGGCTATTTGTGTGGATGCACTACCAAACACAGGGTGCATTAATGGTGGCTTGCTGCTGTAAAGGATGTGCTCTCTAATTAAAAGGCTACTCACTTATCATATAGATCCTACAGTATATTTCTGGATGTGTGTGTTGGCTCATTCTTTTTTCAGGGTGCTCTGTGGCTTTCATCACACTGACGTCACCTGATTTTATGCAAAGCAGTGGAGAAGCTCGGTCTGTAAGAGTGAAACTGTGTGTGTGCGGTTTTACATTCACTTGCACAGGTAGACCCACTATAATTAAAACTGTTCTACACACAGACTTTGTGTTGCATTATTCATACAGTGTAGCTCCCTTCTCTGCAAAGGTGTAGAGATGGTAAACATTCTAACAAACCGACCCAGGTATGGATAACAAAGATGGAAACATGAAATGTTGCAAATAAACATTTTACAATTTAAGAACTAGATAAAAAGGATAAAAAGTTATTTCCTTGGTCTACATACAGTATATCAGCATAGCATACCACTAATACTAATGTATTATAACATTATTATAACTGCTACTACTATTATTAGCATTACTACAATCAATACTAGTAGTAATAGCACTACTACTAATATTAGTACTACTTTAATTGTTACTACTATTCCAACTGCTGCTATTACTAATGTCTACTACTTCAACCTGCCATGACACTACTGTCAGTACTACTACGTAGTGACTACTTGCAGGGCTAGTTAGTGAACTTTGGTAGCTGAGGAGCTAACTGCTAACTCACTAGTCAGCACTGCTGGGCTATTGCTAGTACATCTAAGTTTCAATAGTTCCTGGGGAGCCTCAGCTGTTCTACTGTATCCACCCTGGCATTTTGTTCACCATTGTACACCATTTGTTCAATAAAAAGTCACTGATAATTATCTTTGGGTGAACAAGATTGCTAACAGTCGGTTAGCACAAAGGTCAGCACAAGTTCACATCTCAGTAGAACAAATCAACGAAGGTGAACTCTACCCAGAACATTCATTCAAATGAATGTCATCTCCTTGAACAGAACCCCTGACCTCAAACCACTACTATTAATACTATTACTAATACCATTAAAACCACTAGTAATAATATCAAATGGACGGAAAATAAATTGTGTATTAATATAAAACTAAAGAACAAAAGCATGAAAGAACACAAAATCAACAGAGAAATTTAAGAAATAGATAAGACATCTGTAAAAAAGAACAGGCAACATAGAAAATCTTACAAAGCCCAGAGATAGTAACATATATTCTGGTAGTAACATGACAACTTTATTATTGTCAGGTTTGCCCGGCCTCACCGGCCTCTCTCACCTTCCTCACTCCGTCTCTCTCTTTTAGCCTCAGATTGCTGATCACGTACACCTGCGCCTCACCCCTTGATTGTCACCAGCTGCACTTCATTAGTCTATCCTTACTTATACCCAGCTCACCTCTCACTCACTTGCCAGTTCGTTCACATTCTCAGGCCATCTCTTTGTCTCCCGAGTTGATGAATATTCGTTTCTGTATTTTTGTGTGTTTCCAGTTCCCCGTTATTTATGCCCAGGATTACCGTGCTTTTCACCTCCTCTTTTTCCCCCTCTTGGACTGTTTTTCCTCTGGACCTTGGTTTTTTCCGGTAGCTACCATCACCCACCGACCAGCCCAGGAGTGACCCCGCGACGCAGCTCGGCCCACCTCATTCAACTCATTCAACTCATCATCCCTCTACTCCTGCTGCTGGTCAACACTCGGTTACTCTGTTCCACTATCATCCACGTACTTGTTATTGTCACTAAACTACACTGTGTATTATTAAATCACTGCTTGCACTGAAGTGGGCTACCTGGGTCCGCCTCTCTTTTTCGCTCGCTCACGTACCATAACAATTATAGAAACAACACTTCAGCTGTCAGTCAAGACAGAGATTCTATAAAAAAAATTTTTTTTTTTTAAATCATCCCTTGATTTTAACTTGGATCTGGAAGAGTTAAGGGACCTTTCAGGTGCAAGACACTGCTAAACTTCACTGATGAAATCAGGCTCCCGGTCCTGTTAATGTTTCAGGTACTGAAATTCATAACATTTTGAAATGGATGGTTAAAGGTGGAATGATGGGAAAGGGTATATTTTTTCGTTTTGTTGACAACAATAATGCCTCAATACACTTAAACACCACTGCTTGGAATGCAAAGTTTAAACAATACTATAGTATATCATTTAGATTTTGCATCCCAAACCTGAGATTATAATAACAGAATGTTTTGTATTAAACCCACAGCGAAGTGAAATAAATCTTGTTAGTTTTAAATGGATGTTTGTGGACTGTACTGTACCTGAGCGGAGGTGCTGTTGAGCTTCTGCAGGCCGTTCTCCAGTCGCTCCATCTTGGTAATGAGGTCTTTACTCTTCTGACCCAGCAGACTACGATACAGCTTGATCTGCTCCAGAAAAGACTTGGGTGTGGTGTAGTTGTAGCGCCGCTCACTGGCCAGATACTCCTTGGATGTCTGGTTGACACTCATGTGTATGTATGCCATGAATTTACTGACTGACTCCTTTACTTGAGGCTGCAAGAGCGACACAGAACTTTACATTAAAAGCAGATTACTGTGCAGATTTAGCTGGAAAATGATATTTCCTGAGGCTCCCGCTCTGAATTTAATTTTCATAGACTCCCCTCTGCTCTTAAAATTAACAACACCCTCGTTGTGTCACGGTGCCTGACATCTGAAATTATATTTTCAGTGTGTGAACATCACTTTTGTGGGTGGCTTCATCCCTGTGTGTATATTTAAAGTATCAGCTGTTCTCACTTCAATATTCCCCGCCTCCTGGAGGAACCTGAGGCTGACTGACTCCAGCGCCTCTTGTGGCCACTCGTGGAACCAGTCAATCGCTGTACAGTTCACCACTGCAGGGAACTTCCTACTGCGAACCCTCAGTTTACTACCCACTGGAGAGAAACACAAAGCCACCTGAAACACAGGCACACACATACATGCAGAGGTCAAACAAAGTTGAGTGTGAAATATGATACAGCAGCTAGAACCCAGTCATTTTCTTTTCTCTGTGAGTGCCACTTGTGTCACAGGCAGACTGTGCAAAGAAAGGCAGAGAATTCCTGCTCTGATTAGACCGTCTTCATGGTCAAGAGGGAGAGGGAAAAATTGAATTAATTATTTGCAGCTACATCATTAAGCAAATAAAGCCTCAGGCAAGCGTGCAAATTAAAAGAGTGTGTTGGGCCACTGGCTACGTTAGTCTGATTTTCACTGTTGGAGACTAACAACTGGCTTGTTGAGAAACTCAACCAGATGCTTAATACCATTAGACTGAAGAAACAAACATGCAAAAAGCATGCTCAAAGACACTATCACTACTAGGTGACAACTCTGCAGAAAAAAATAGGTGAGCACTTATTTTAAGTTTGCTGTTACCATTGTTTTACACACTGAAGTTTCACCTAGCTGCTTTCATCCAGAGGAATATTATATTTAGTTAAAAGCTGATAATTACAGAACTGAATCGCAGTCACTGACACCGATGAAGCTCAGACAGCTAAAAATGTTTGGCCTTTTTTTCCCCCCTAGTTTCCAGAGTGTGATCACATTCGATAATCATCAGTCAATGGATCGCTTCCTCTGAGGGCAGTGAAAAGTGCACAAATGTGTTTTAAAAGCTACCATAAAGCTCAGCATACAGTCTATATAGTGCACATCATCCAGCTCGTCCAAACCACTGGTTCCCAACCTTTTCAAACTTGTTAATACGCAGCCATGTCTGTTTGTGACCCATTGTCACAGATTGTATGCAGGGCTGAATGAACCTACTACTGCGCCCTGTGTGGCGCGGTGTTGACTGGCCCCTCTCTGTGAATGAGCGTGCCAAAGAATCCATCGAGTGCAGTGAACACAGTAAAAGATTGTACCCACTAGAACTCCTAACCTGGAATGCTATATGGCACTAGGCTTGCCACTTATTTTGTAGTAATTTTGTTTTGCTTAGCAGCTTCATTTATAATCTGTAACTATTTTCTTAAGCGTCTCATACATTTTAATAATAAAATTGAAGCTATGATGCCAAAAATTTAGGTGGTTAAACTCATCATCTCTGTGTTGTGACTTATGATCAGAAAAGGTGACTGAAAAATGGAAACAGACTGCAAGATAAATTAATTATTTAAATATTTATATTATTCAATAATGTATTTATTTAAATATTTTCATTATTCAATAATGTATTAAAAGCAGGCCTGCAAAAGGGCCATGATGCAAACAGAAGGGGGCACATCTGCATCCAAGATTCATTTCCCCTTCTTAAAGTCCTGAAGGCATAATACAATACAGTATCTTGGACAAAAAAAGATTAGAGAAAGTAACAGACAGATTCAAAAACACATGCTGCCCCATGTTGTGACCTTAAATAACACAACAATGATGTTAACACCTCCTCAACAAAGTTCATTCAAACACTGAATGATATTATGAGCTTTTTGTGAAAGTGCCTCCTTTTGTCCAGACAGACAATTTTGAGACAGGGAACAGTTAGAAATCTACTATTTACGAGGCTGTGCTCATGGGATTGACTTCCTCATTTATTAACTCTCCAGGCCAGGAAGGCTTGAACTGGGAGCAAGGCGGGGATGGAGAATGTGGCTGGTGGTGGAGATGCACACTGTAATAATGAGAGGATAAGCAACCCCCTGGAATCTGTCTATCCCCAGGACGAACAGAGCAGCTACACAGTGGTGGAACTCTCCGCAGAACAACCTGTCAGTGATCTATAATGACGTCCGCTGGCTCCCGACATATTCAAGTTCATCTGAAAATGTCAGGAATAAAATTGTCTGGGGAGAGGCTTCATAATAAAGTCAGATGTTTGTCCAAATATGAGGGATGTTTTATTTTGGAATGATAAATTAAGAATGTGAGGCAACATTCTATTGCTATATTAAGAGAGGATAGAGATCAAATTCAGATGCAGTTCTATGAGAACGATTAATGGCAAACTTTCCCCCCCTAGAGAGAGTATCTGAGCAAAACTTCTTCTAGGTGATCAGTAGTGAAATTCACTGTAACAAGGAACACACAACTCTTTCTCTTGTACTTATCTATCTATCGAACTGGTTCACCTTGAGCTGTCTGCGAACACGGTCGATGAAGAACTTCCAGCAGTTTTCCCTTGTATCCATCAGTCCCCAGCCACGGACCTCTGGCCTCATGCTGCCAATGATGTTCTCCACCTCGTCATCTGGGAACAGGTCAGGAATCTCTCCTTGAATGGATAAAATGATCCATATTGCCAGTGAGAAGACCATCAATACTGAAGGAAGCAGTTGTAATTAGTTCTGTTAGAGACATTTTGTCTGAGAATTCTCTCAAACTTTCTCATCTTGCCAGGATCTGAACTGACATGGAGATGGTAGCAGCAGGAGTTCATACAGGGAACTTAGGCTAACATAGGCCTGTCACAGCCTCACAGGAGGAGGAATGTGCAAGTTGACATATATGTACATACAGTAGCACCTAGAAACTGTCATGATGCTCCAAAAATGGTGCATTTACCTAAAATTCAACATGGCATGACAACAACTTCACATTTTCTATACTTCAAAATGGCAGCATGCATCTTTTTTTTGACTATTCAACCAATGTTTAACCAGGGGAGTCCCAGTGAGGATTAGAAACCTCTTTCACAAGGGAGCCTGGTCAGATAAGCTTATATTAAACAGTGGCCAATGTGGCCATTTCAGAGATAATGGCATATTGAATGTTCATATCCCAGGATTCTCTGGAGTCATTTGTCTTAAAGACATCATAATTAGCCAGCCTACTCAGAGCCAGTGAACAGGAGACTGATGCAACATGAGCTGCTAGGGTTATATGACTACTGGCTGTAGCTGTGCCAGCACTACTGCTAGCAACTTAATTTGCTAGCACGTTTACTATGCTGACTACTATTGCTTATGTGAGCCGCTACTAAAATGTTGCAAGTTAGGCTGCAATGAAAAAAAAAGTCATAAAAGAACAGTGAACATCTGGCACCTGAAAATGAATATTTTATAGTTTTTTTTTTTAAACAATGCCTTTCCATTAAATAGAAATAAGCTCTAACCATAAAATCACTTATATCAGTTGTATTCTACTGTTTTGTGTGTGCATGTGTGTTTTTCCCTGGCACCCCAGCTAATAGATTTTCACTGTTCTTTTATGACTTTTTTTAACAGTGTATAACAGCAAATATCTGTTAAATAAAATAATGTTGTTTTACAGTAAAAGATTTTAAACCTCCGTCCAGTTAGTACTTATAAAACCCAGATATTTTGATGTAAATATCAGTTACAGTTTCACCCTGTTTTTTTTATTTGATTTTTGATTTGATTTATTCTTTCAAACATGTGAAGACAGTCAATATGTCAACACATATAATTTCACACATATCCACAAATACATTATCAATTTGCTTATACCTAGTAC